TGGGCCGGCTGCCCGCGGGGGTGCGGGACCCTGCCCGAAGGCACAAGGTGCTGTCCCAGCCGCCCCTGGCCAGCACACCGCCTATTCACAGATTTATCGCTTTTGCTTATGTTTATTTACTCCCATAATGCTTAATTAGCTCTACGCTGCAGTAAGGGATCTCCAAAGCCTCTAACAGAACCACGTGTTACTTAAGGGAAGCAAAGAACACGTGGATGGAAAAAAAGCAAGTTTCACTATTGGAGCTGAGGCTGTTTCCTGGGCCTGTTGGTCCTTGTCTTGGCCCTGAAATACCTGGGTGAGCTGGAGAGGGAGCTGGGATCAGCCTCCCCTTGCTGTGCAGTGCATGCCCAGGGTTCTTGCTGTCTTCCCCTTGGGAAAGTTTCTTCTTCCTTCTTATTCCCATATAACAAATATTTGGCTTAGCCATCAGGGCAAGTCCAACCGTTGCAGTGGATTAGGGACATGCAGTCAGGAACACATCTGAAAGTAGTAGTCATAATGGTTAGTAGTTTACCATGTCTTGAGTGATGGAGAACTGATCCTTTAAACTCATCTTACGTTTTGTCACCTCACAAAAGGATAACTGGTACCTGCTGAAGTCTTGTTAACCAGGGATTTTCTATGTATGAGCCTACATGAAAAAAGGGAGTAAGAAATATAGTTAAAATGAAACTTTGCCTAATTTTTCATAGTTCAAATGCTTAATCTCTTTTTTTTTACTGTTCTATTTGAATATATATTTTTCTATCTTTTCAGACTATAATTTTGATATTGCTAACGGGACACAAAACCTGACCCATACGAAATTGTTCAAGGCTTTAGCATTAAACAAGCGAGTTGTTAACATTTCAGCCTTTCTTGAGCTTCTAGCAATCCTTTATCAAATAAAGGATTCCAGCATTACAGCCCTTCTGGGAAATTCGAAGTACTTGAAAGCATCACAAGCATCTGTCCCTTTTCCATATCCTTCTTTTTGTGCCTGTTGCCTTCTAAGATCACTTGATAGCTTACTAGTGAAAGCATCTTTTATTCCTCTTTCCCCCAGGTTAAAAACATCTGCCTTTTCTCTTTAAGAAGCACTGCAGACCAGGCAGATTGGCCCAGGTACTATTGTTCCTTTTCTCTCAGAAAACAGCTTCAAGTGATTGAGCTCTTCAGTGAAGTGTGACATACCCCAGCTGCCCTGCTACCAGGCTTATTTAACTGATTCAGCACATGTAATTCTTCAGCATAGAAACAGCTTCTGTTCTCCAGAAACCCTGGCAGCAGCTGGTGTGCAAGCAGTTTGAGAAGGCAGAGAGGTGGCAGAGTCTTAGTCAAAGGAAGAGCCTTCCTGGGGATGTTCTGCAGACAGGACTCTGAACTAAGCTCTTCAAGGCTGGCAGTTGCAAAGCTGCTTTTGGCAGAGAGCTGAAAAATTGGTAAAACTGAGCACATTGCCAGAAGCTGCTGCCCAGCACCAGTTTAGAGTTTTCTTACAAATTCCATGTACATAATCTAGACCCGTTGCTCGGGAGACATTAACCAGAGCTGTCAGCCTGCAGAGAGATTGATTTACACATTCACCACTGCAGAGTGTGTGTGCAAAGGCCTAAATTTCATGTACACTTTAAATTGTCATAAACAAACTCTTGCCTGTCTCTGCCTGCTTATTCCCACTATGCCTGGCCGGCTTTTTCTTTATATGAGCCTGTACTTTTGCACAGCCGCATGGAGGCTGGACTGGGGAACTAAGCCAGAACAAAAGCAACTTGCCTCTACCCTGCCCTCCCTAAGACGGTTCCCAGTCCTAAGGGAAGAAGGGAATGGTAACGCAGTGGATGATTTTGGTTTTTTCAGCAAGTGTTGGCTTGTTGCAGCTTAAATACATGTCTTACTGCAACCCAAGAGAGTACGTCAAGAAAATATATCTTGCTAAGCCTTGAGCTGTTGATCCTGCTGTTGGAAACATAAGTGGCAATGTGGTATTCAGAATTTACAGGGTTTCTGAAGTCCTTCACATCGGACAACTTTGGCCACTTCATCACTATACTACTTCTCCTTCTGTAAATTACAGATGAGAATAGTAATCTACCCTATGGGATCATGAGCAACATGTATTTGGAACATTCTTTGAAGGTATAAAGTGTTATGAGGACTAAATATTGCTCTCTAATGGAGATTGATAATTACCAGAATGTTTTATAATGATGAGGCTGTACTGTGGAAATGGACAAAGAGTGCCAAATTTTTTCTCGTTGGTATAAATTGTTTGGGTTTTTTTTATGAATGGGGGACATCTCTCCTGATCCATAACTATTGTAAAAACTGTAGGTACCTTTTGATTCTTGTGTTGAGTACATACTAGCTCTGTTAGCAGCATGCCCTGTTCTGGTCACAGTTGCTTAGACAATAGTTCTGTGGTGCAGTTGGCATTTTTACGAGACTTACCTTGGAATATGGTAGCACTCTTTCTTATAGGTGGTATTTTTGGATGAGTTTTGTTCTTCCCTGTTTTTTTTCTTTTTTGTTTTTTCCTTAACCAGATCTGTTTTCTTTTGCCAGGTGTTCAGATCACAGCTCAGTATTTCTTCAGTCAGCGATCAAGATGCCTACAGAGCAGGATTACAGCCAGTTAGCCAGTGGAAAGCCTATGGCCTCAATGGGTATCCAGGTAGGTATTTCTGATTTCAAGAAGAATTAAACACAATCTTGTTGCTTTGGATTCAGGCATCTTCCATCTTATCCTCCGTGCCCTGCCTGAAGAAGCTATTTTGGTTTGTCTAAGTGTAATTTAGTGTTATCTTAAGTGCAGGAGGACAAACAAGTCAGCTTAAGGGTGGGATGCCGCAATATATATGAAGGTGAGAACAGAAGGGCCAGTTGTTTCACAGTCTCTGATCAACCAGACCATCCCTCGTGAGAATGGATTCCTGTGCCTTTGATAGACACTACAGAAATATAAAATCTCTATTTTTCTTCAACATATATAATGCAAATTAGGTAAGTTGCTGAAATACAGTCATTTCAGGGCTGAAGTGTGGCATCTACTTGCTGGTATAGAGCACTGAGTACAATAAGTGAATAAGAACCCCTTGTCCTAGTCAAGGTACAGAGTAATTTCATTAAGCAGATTATTTCAAAAACTGAAATGGATCTTAGGTTTGCAGGTAAGCTGGTAGAATCACAGAAAGGAGTTAGGTTGGAAGGGACCTTCAGAGGTCTAGTCCAACTCCCTGCTTAAAGCAGGGTCAAGTTGAAAGTTAGATCAGGTTGCTCACAGCTTTGTATGGGTGAGTTTTGGAAATCTCCAAGGACAGAGTTTGCACACCCTCTCTGGGCACCTGTTCCAGTGTTTGGCCACTCTTGTTGTGATTTTTTTCACCTCATATCTAACCAAAATTTGCATTCCCGTAATTTGTGACTGTTTCCTCATAATCTTGCTGTGGACCTCTGAGAAGAATCTGGCTCCACCTTCTCTATAATGCCCCTTTAGGTAGCTCTTACTAATACAGGCCGATGTGTAATCAGCCTTCATTGCTGCAAGGGTGCACTACTGACTTGTGCTCAGTTTGTCCTCCAAGACCTCCCTGGTCCTCAGGCTATACTGTTGCATGGGGTTATTCTGCCCCAGGTGCAGGATTATCACTGTTGAACTTCCTGAGGTTCTTGTTGGCCCATTCCTTTGATTTGTCAAGGTGCCTTTCAGTGGCAGCAGTAGCCTCCAGCATATCCACTGCTGCCCCAATTTAGTATTGTCTGTAACTGTGATGAGGATGAATGTCCCATCCTCCAGGTTGTTGATATAGATGTAGTTACCAGTCTTGGCCCCAGTATCAACCTGAGGAACACAGCTCATAACAGCCGCTGGTTAGACTTTGAACCATCAAATCACTATTCTTTAAGCCTGGTGGCCTAGCCAGCTTTTGCTCACCCTTTTAGTTTACCCATAAAATCCATGAGCCCCCAGTTTGGCTCCAATGATGCTACAGGAGACTGACTGGAAAACTTTGCTAAGGCCAAAGTAAACAGCATCCCCTGCTCTCCCTTTACTGCAGCAGGCAGTAAGGCTGGTTACACAAAATGTGCCTTCAGTAAATCCATGCTGGCTGTTCCCAACCACCTCGTGTCTGGAAATGGCTGTCATGAAAGTTTGCTCCATAATCTTACCAGGGGTAAGACTGATGAGTTTGTAGTTCCCCAGATCTTCCTTATTTCAGGGATTTTTGTTTGTTTGGTTTTGGGTTTTCTCATGTTTCTTTCGGTTCATGGAGACTGCAGTCAGTGTCTGTGTAGGTTGCTATGAAGCCAGCCTACCATTTCTGAAACTGAAGCAGCCACACTAGCCGTCTGGTATGGTTAATACACAGGGAATTGAATAACTTCAGGAGAAAGGCTTCCACCTCTTCTTGCCTCTATACATTTTTTGTTCTACTTACCTGTCATATTATAGCTGCCCTTGCTTGGTCTCACTTGTCATTTTATGTCTGTCTAAGCGTCTTTCCTAGCAATTACATGGGGGGAGGGGATCACAAGTGTTGCACTTAACTGCGTTTTTCTTCTGCTTTGACAAAGAAAACCTTTCACTAAAATGAAATGCAAATACATTAACAAATTCTCAGTCCTGTTTAGAATCAAGTCATGTGTGGACAAAAATAATGTTTTATCCTTTTCCAGCTACCTTTATCTGGACATCCTGAAGCACTGTAAGATACTTAACCAACTGCCCAAATAGCCCTCTAAAATAAGTTAGAATTTCTTTAGTTTGTCTATGGGCAAATGGAAGGGAAGTTACTTGGTTTTGTCCCCACAGTGAGCAATGAAATAGAAGACTAAGGAAGCTGGGTGAATTTCTGTTGCAGTGTCCTGAGTTCTGTGAGATGTGGGTGATGCTGTCTTTGGGTCTTTGTAACTGACACAAACTGGTTTTATGAGGGGTTGTTCTTGTTGCTAGACATCTGTGTGTCTTACCCTTCCTTTGACTGAGGCTGCAAACCACTTTCACTAGCCGTAAATTAACTCCTAGTGTGCTGCAAGATTTTGCTGCAGTAAGAGAATTGCATCTGCTTCCTCAAGGTAGATTCCTTTACTATACAGATCCCTAAAGAATTTGTCTTTCACCGATTCCACTCAGACCAACTCTTTCAAGGCCAGGAGGTTCAACTGTGTTGCTTTCAAAGTTTGTCTGTGGTGTTCTTTAGTCAGCTCAAAAAGATTGCTACAGAAATATATTTCTTACTCTTCTCCCTCCAATGTGAGCTAAGTTACTGATTTCTAGCACTATTGGCCCTCCCAGGAACTATTAGTCTTGAACGTTAGTGTAGAATTTTAGAGTAAAATTCTGCAACTGTTAGAAATTCAGGGTTTTCTGCCCTTCTTGACATCAGAAGGATAGCAGTAACCCACTTTTTAGTTGTTCTCGCGTTTGTAAATCTAGACTAATCTGGTTTCTTAGGAGTAAGCAATGAAAGGTTTGGTGAGACATGAGCATGTTCTAAGCTTCTGATACAAGAATTATAAAATTTGGATTCTTGTTCTCAGCACTGTGTGTAACTAGCACTCCAGGCTTCAATTCCTTCATTAATACCTGGAGATAACACATACATAGTAGAGTGTAATTTCATGAATGTAGTGAAGTGCTTTGAGAACCCCATATCAAAAGCTGTAGACAGGAAGGGCAATATTATTATTCTGTTCTATGCAGAGTCTAACAGAAAGTAAATCTAATGCTTCTGGCAAAGAAACTTCTTGTAACCAGACCTATCAGAAGGCTGCCATAGTCTGAAGGTACAAGGAATGGAGTGAAATGAATGACAGTATATTATTAATACACTGAGGGCACTTTTTCTAACCAGTTAATTTAATCTTGTGGGGTCTGTGAGACAGGCTGGCAGGAAGCTTTTTCTGTGCTTTTATTACCACTTTCATAAAGCCACAAGGCAAGTTTGTATCGTATTGTTGTATCGTTTTGTTGTATCGTTGAGACTCCCAGCCTTGCTGCTTCTTTTTTTCATCTATTTTTGTCTCTGTTTAGCTTGATAAGACTGAGAAGTTCAGAAAGATGCAGTAGGGCAAAACTTTGAAACCTCCTTTTCCTTTGTTCCTCCTGTACCCTTATCTCTCTCTGTATGTGAATTTTGTCTTGGTGAGTCTTACTGAATTGGCAGTCTTTGAGAGAGTGCCTTGATTCTCAGAGTAGGTATAATACAGATTAATAGCATCTTCCCATCACTCATTCATCAATACTGTTGACCCTGGCCTGGAAGGAAACATCCCTGAGGTGCTGGGGAGAAAATTCCAGTGAAGAATCCTGTTAGCACTCCTGGTGATGGCAGATCTTATGTCAAGGACTCTTGTCTGTTAAGATATAGACCAAATCAATCCATTACATCTCTGCCAACCCTCTTATTTGGGCTGCTGCTTGAATTCTGCCTGAGGTGCCTGGCTAAATGAATGTGCAGACTAGCTACATGTTTATTTTGTTTTGTTAATTAACAATGACTGCAAAGTATTTGCAGTCAGCAACAAGTAGTTTGGGATATAATTTGACTTTCATCCTCTTTGATGAGTATTACCATACCAAAATACAAAGATGGATACAACCAGACTTACCTGGAAATAAGCATGAAGCAAAGGAGAGGAGGGTTTATGTTACTAGAGACTTGCTCAGCCCATGGACTGCTCTCTGCAGTTCATGACACTGAAGTTGCAATAAGAACACAGTATGAGTTCAGAGGCAGCAACAAGGTTAGTTTGAAGTCTGGAAAAACTAGGCCAGAATTTCTTTAGCTTTGCAGGGTTCAAGAGAAGAATCCTGCTGAATCATTTCAGAATCAAATTTACTCCAAAGCAATTGGCTTTCCAAGTTCTTACTCCTTGATCTACCTGTAATTAATATGCCTTACACAGATATGTCCTTTATTGTAATTTTTCTACTTGGACCAGCGTCAGCTGCCCTCCCTGCCTTCTGCCTTATGGCCACCGTTTGTTTGTACTGAAAAAAACCAATAGATTTTTAACTTAACTATTCAGGCCTGTTAATAGATTCCATCAGCTTACATGCAAAGTCAGTGGTTGTATGTCTGAGGTGTTTTTTCAGTATCTTCAACCCCTATCCTATGCTCTAGTTTTAGAAAAAACAGGGAAATGCCTAATCACACTTTCTGCCCACCCCCTCCCTTTTTCTCTGTGGTCAGGGTTTATTTTCATACCAAACCCTTTCCTTCCGGGCTGCCAGCGTCACTGGGTGAAACAGTGTCTCAAGCTATACCCCCAGAAACCCAATGTCTGCAACCTGGACCTGCACATGGCTCCCGAGAAGACGGTTGACCTGTGGGGACAGAGCAAGGAGCAGCTGAGGTAAGTCCACAATAACCTTTGGTGGTCAAAACTAATGGAGCCAGAAGGTCTCAGCTCTGAGAAGGTCTAGGAAAAATGAGCAGGCAAGGGAAGCTGAAAAAGATTGTGTACATGCTGGCAGTATACAGATGGTGTCAGACATGCCAAGTTAAAGATGCATTTTTCATGGCTTGATGTCCACCCTCGTTAATTCTCTGCTTTCACACTCACAATGGGATTTTCTAGTAGCAAATTATTCCAAAGCCATCAATCAAACGTAAAATAGTGACCCTGGCTGGTATCGTGGTGCTTGGAAGCTTGCTAAGCTCAGCTACAAGTGAAACCGTGAGGTCTCTCTAGGCCTCAGTTTTCCTGAGGCAAAAGGGATCCTTTCCAAACACCCCAGTCATGCTAGCTCTTCTTCCCAGTCAGCTGTCAGACCTAGTATACTGTAGTATACTATAATTGAAAGGCTGTTATCTGCACACTAGTTTCTGTGGTTTTATTTTCCAAAGTATTTTTTCTTTTGGTTTGGGTTTTTTTTTTGTTGGTGGTGGTGGTTTTGGATTTGTTTTCATTCAATCTGAGATGGTGATTAAATGTACTGTTTTAATGGCAATCCTGTTTACTCTGAAAGACTCCCACAGGTTCAGAGTTCTGTGGCTGACACAGCTGCCTTTCCTCTACCTGATTTGGAAGTTAAGGGAGAATTTGTCCAAGTTTTGAAGTCAAGTAGAAAGTTTTAAAGTCCAAGTTTTAAAGGCTTTTTTTTTTAATTAGTCACCTGTAAAAATACATAAAAGATAGATGCTGTTTACAGTACACAATCTTTTAGTTATTTGGGTATTTATCATTACCTTGTTGATTTCATTGCTCATTTTTCATAATGACTGTTTCATGTGATGGAGTGACCAGAGTTCCTTACAACTCTCATCTTTCACCTCAGTCTCTTAGTACAATTGATATGCTGAGATTTTTCTTCAAAAATACTCTTAACATCTACAAGATATGGGATGGCAAAAGCAAGATTTGGACTTTAAATATTTGCACCAAGGAGAGAAGTTATGCCCCCACTTGTGTTTTCAAGGAGAGAAGTTATGCCCCCACTTGTGTTTTCCAGGCTCAGTCAGAATTAGTTACAGAAATTCAGATGCCTTTTTTGTGTTCTGTCAAGGATGAAAAGTTGTTCTTTGAAAGTATTGTGCGTTGTGCCCTACAGCTGAAAAAAGTGGGGTACTGTTCCAGTTTGACAGGCCTTTCCCAGCAGCACCTCCTGTGCGCATGGAGAACAATCAGAACAGAGGTTAATTTGCAGCTGAATCCAGTTCAGTTGAAAACAGTGTTTGGAAGAGTGATGGCTGGCAGGAACACTGGCAGTTTTATTAAGCACTTGCCTGTGTCTTCAAGTGAGCAAACTGCTGTATTTGTGCTTTTACCTAGGGCACAGCAGATCAAACTAGCCAACTTGTCTAGTATCTGGAGTGAGAGCCTTTCAGGGAGGGGAGAAACAGAGTGCTTAGCTAAAAAGGGGTCTACTTCCAAGACTGGACACAACTTTAATGCTTTTTAAAGCCATCAGAAGATGCATAAATGTGCTTGGGTCACGGCTTATCTGCTCTTTTCAGGATGCAGGAACCACAAGGTAGGGAGAGTCCATACAGTTCCTAGAAATGTATGCTATGCTCTCTTCAGAAAGTGGAGTTTAGGTATTTTCTTTAGTGCTGGGGACAATTAAAAGCATAAAAGGGAATAGAGCATCCCTATGAGGGATATGTATATCCTTGTGTATAAGGAGAAGGCTGGGGGGATTTTATAGATGCAATCATTTACCAGTGAATAAAGAAAAAAGGGAGCTTCAGACCAAAGCACCCCTGCTGTTCAGTCTTGTTCTCTTTCTAACATAGTTATACCAGAATTTCTCTGTGCTTTCTTGTAGGAGTACCTCCTGCTACAGCTCTAGGAATTCATTGTTTCCAGATCCATAACGCTCAGACTTTCCTCTCCTCAGCAATCACATGTGAAATCACATGCAAAATACTAAGTTCTGGGAATAAGGAGCATATTAGGGTTCCTGCTGTTGTGCAAACACTCTAGCACTGTAGTGAAAGAAGAAAGGCACTTTCAAAAGGCATGTGCTAAAAATGTTTGATTATGAACATTAAGTTTGTCGATTGAAAGATGTAGAGGAATGAGTTGTGGGCTCTCCCTTTTCTAAATGCTGTGTTACCTGCTTGTAGGCTCCATAAATTGTTCCAAGCAGCATGTATTTGACAGTTACTGTGTTGCTGCGTTATGGTAATTGCAGTTGCTGTTACCCTATGACAAAGATGGAAACTGAAAGATGACTTTTTTTCAATAATTGGTGAGCTATGAAAAATTACTAAAGGTAAAGAAACTGGCCTTTTAAATCCTGTTCCTGGTTTAGCTTAGGAGCTATCAGTATGGTATAAGTGAAGGGCAGAAACAAGCTGTGTATCCAGGTAGAAATGCCCATTAAATGCAGATGCTTGGCTGAGACTTGACCATGGCAGCATAAATATCCTGCTTTGTAGAAGAGAGCATGTCTTACTGAACTAATGAGGCTATAAATGAGAGCCAACCATCTGGTGCTACTGCTTATCATGATGTTCTGAGTACATTTCCCTTTTCTTTCATTCTTTACCATAACACATGACTTATCTTGAGAAAAGAAGCTGAAATTGCTGGAATAAGTGGACTAGAAGATAGATGTTTACCTTCCTTTTTGTATTTGTCACTAGCATGTTTCTATCTGATTTACTGTAGTAATACTCTTTGTAACTTTTTAAGGACTTTTCCGTAGGCCATAGTAAAAGCCCGTCCCTGAGGTCTCTTCCTGCCTTCACCACATTCAAGTAAGAATGGTAAATTGGCATGTGGCTTCAAACCACTGAGTCCCTCTGCATTAGGGTTGTCACTTGAGAAGAACAGTTTTTTGTCCTGCATAGCAGTCTGGATAGGAGACACCTGCAATCTAGACTTCCTGACATTACAAGAAGTGTATGGTCATAGCTAGAGCAGTCTTGCTTCTTACTGAACATTGAGTCAGTCCATCCTAAGGACTTCTTGTAAAAGTACCAAATAGTAGAACTAACAGTCCTTTGCAGTATTATGCAGCTTGATACGCTTCACTGTCAGGCAAAGCATTTTCCTTTCTTGTCATTTTCCATTGAGTGCTTAGAATATTTTTTCCTTGTGTTTGCAGCTTTTAGATCTTCACAGATTCTGTTGTTTCACTTTCAGGTTCTCAAGTGGTACGCAACTTCTAAATCTGCACCAGTTCATTGTGTTGTCTCCATCTGATAACCTATTATGTACCATGTTGAAAATACAAGCTTTCAAACTGACAGCAGTTGGCAGTACGCCCTATAGTTTGCACGAATTGCATGAACTGAATTTTCAAGGTCTTTGGAGGAAAAAAATAATGGCACTGAAAATAAGTTTAGCATTGATGGTTTTAATAGGCTGTCATATGGATGAGTGAATCTCATTACTGTATGCTGCACTACCAGAAAACCTCTCAGAAATTAACACATATCCTATTTCTTTCCATTTTGTCTTTGCAGAAGGAAAGGTTCCAGTAAACGGGAGCCCAGAAGCTTATTGGAGAAGCTGCGCTGGGTGACCCTTGGTTACCATTATAACTGGGATACTAAGGTATTGAAATTAAATTCCTCTCCATTTTTCTTAGCTGTAAGCACTCAGAATGGCAGACAGAGGAGGGTATCATGGAACAAAATGCTTATGATCCTACAAAACAGTCTTGAGGAAAGGCTGTAACAAACCATGCTTGTAAGAACATTTTAATCTGTTTTAGGTTACTGTGAAGGATTTAACAGCAAAAGTCCATTGCTGTGTTCTTTCCTTTGAAAGGTAACATGGTAGCATACACTCAGCTCTAGACCTGTGACTGTTTCAGGGTAAGTGAGCATTTTTACCCTACCAAAAGGGATGGTCACAAAAGCATTGTTAACTACTTAAGGTGAGAATGACCTTGAGTGCTTGAAGGTAGCTACTTCTGAGAAACTACTCCTCTTTGAAGGGGTGAGGGAGAGCAGGAAGAGGCTGCTGCTGATGTGACTTTGAACTTAAGAGTCTGAACCAGTATAGTACAGTCTCATCAACTAACAGCTATTTTGGGGCTTTCTGACCAAAATAAACTTTTTCATAAGACTGAGTCAGATGGAGGCTGAGAGAGGATGGCAGAGTGAATATGCAGTCTTATCCATATATTGCAGATACTTCACCAAATATTTACCAGGTCAGCCTATTATTGGGTGGCCTTAATAAAAACTTGGTTATTCCCTTCCAGTCCTCTCAGAATCACTCATGGGAGAGAGAAGAAGTAGGTTTGCAACTGATTGCTGTTTGTCTTATCCTTCAAAGAAGGAACAAAGATGCTTGTTTCAGAGCTCTGTTGATGAGATACAGAACTGTCTGTCCATTGGCAGCTTTAGGTAGTGACCAAGTAGATCCTCAGGATGTTAGTACTAGCCTTAGGTACTAATCTTACTGACTTAAAGTTTGCCATCCAGATATAACAATTAAATCCACGATTAATTGAATCTCTGGCAGTCTCAGCATAGGCCCAGAATTAAATGATAAGAGGTAAACTTGCTGTGGTTCTGCCTACGTTGTAGTCATTTTCCAGGCAAATATGATGTCCTTCTCCGGGACTATCAGCCAAACTTCTGAATTCTCGTTCAGTGTTTGTTTCCAATTTTATTTGCTGCTCTGATGTTCTGGGTGTGGTTTGTTTTTTTTTTTTCTTCTGCTCTCCTTCCTCCAGAAGTACTCAGCAAATCACCACACTCCTTTCCCCCCAGACCTTGCATTCCTCTCTGAACAAGTGGCTGCAGCCTGCGGGTTCCGGGGTTTCCAAGCCCAAGCAGGGATCTTGAACTACTATCATTTTGACTCTTCACTGGGAATTCATGCGGATGAGTCTGAACTAGACCATTCTCGGCCCCTTTTATCATTCAGGTGAGCCAAGGAAAGCACTCAAGTGTTGTGGAAGGATTGAAGGCTTTTTTTTTTTCTATGGTTGCACATGGTTATAGGAAGTTGGTATGATGTAGTTTGCTAATTGGGTACATAATCTTTACTCTCTGAAAGTTTGAGTAGTAGGAAGCTGTAGCTCAAGGGTATAGGTTTTTCTTCAAAGACTGCTTGAATAGCATGGATGTGGTGCCTGGAGCGGAAGAGCTCTTTGCACAGAGCACAGGTCTGTTCTAAAGCAGCAGAGTGGCAATTAGGTACTAGCAGGCAAGGATGAAATACCTCAGCAGAGCTTCAAACCTGGCAGGGCAACTGCTCACACTATGCCTACCTTGGACCAGGCCTCTTAGTCTGTTTTCCATGTTCTCATTGTAAAGTTGTTACTAAGACTCCATTTGGTTTTCTTGTTCGGGGTTTTTTTTTTTTCTTTTTTATGAAGGGATTTAGCTGTTAATATTTTCTTACTGTACATATAATTGTTCTCTACCTGAATTTGTTTTCTCTTTTCTCTCCATCCTCATATCATCTCTAGTTTTGGGCAATCCTCAATATTTTTGCTTGGGGGCCTGAAGCGGGAGGAGGCCCCAACAGCAATGTTCATGCACAGTGGAGATATCATGGTGATGTCTGGCTTCAGCCGTCTGCTGTACCATGCTGTCCCCCGGGTCCTCCCCAACCCTGAAGGGACAGCTTTGCCTTCGTGCCTGGACCAAGCGCTTTCTTCAGACCTTCCTGTTGGCTCAGTCATTGAGCACAGCTCTGAAGAGGACTGGCAGGTCTGTGCCAAGTACTTGCAGTCTTCCCGCATTAATATGACTATTCGGCAGGTGTTGGCTGAGGGTCAGAAATTTCCAGAGGACTCTGGGACGAACAGAGAGGGCCAGGCACCCTCTGAAGACAGTCACCATCAGGAGAACAGCAGAGCTAAGAGACATAAACCAAATACAGACAGCTGAGACCAGGAGATCCTGCTGACATGGACTGGACAGGCAACCTCCATATGGAATTGGGAACTAATGTAATCATACTAGAAGTCACTTGTCTGTACTGGGATTAATAAACTTCTGCAGAATAAATGTAGTCCTTCTTGCTGTAAGAAATAGGTTGGGGGAGAAAAAGAATTTAAAAGGAAAAGAAGGATAAGCTCAGAAGTGGGACTCAGGAGATGAACTCTATTGCTGTTCTGTTGCGGGTGTTTACTGTACTCAGTTCCCTTTAAAATACCTGTATGTCTGAGAATTTTAAGCTTGGTTCAGTGATGCTCGTAAAGTACTTCGAAATCATTGGGTAAAAAGTGCTAGCAAAAGATACGTAATTGCTATGTGTTAAAGAATCCTCTTGGGCTTGTAAAGCTCAGCTGAAGTGCAGTAGCAAGTATGAATGAGAATAGGCTGCTATGGGTGCGAGACCTACCTGCAGCATTTCCGAGAGAATTACCTCTACAACAAAAATTGGTTCAGTGATCAGAAACTAGCAGCTCCCTCGAGCAACACCTGCTGTAAGCTTGCTGTAGTCCTGTGCTCTCCTTTTGCCTGCTTGCACCCCCTCAGCTGCAGCAGAAACTGGAACTGTACTTTTTTTGCATACCTCAGATTTTAGAGAGAAACAACTGGGGGCAATATCTACTTAGAATATCTAGTAGCTCCCAGCCTGGTCTCCTCCAACAGTAAGTACGTGACTGAGCCCTACGTCCCCATTCTTTCAAAACTGCCCCCTCTTAAGTGCCTGCAGATTATGGTCCTCCAGTCTCAAGCTAGCATCTTTAAGGAACAGAATGACTTGCAAGTAGAAGCAATGAAATTGTAAATTAAGTACCTAAAAAATTCATCAGTGACTATCTCTGTCACCCAAAGATAAATATATTGAAACAAAGAAAAGCACTAGCTTTTGTGCCAGTTCTCTTTAAGACTCAGACCTTTCTATCTGCTTTTTAATGCAATTTTAATTGTTGGAGTGGAATGCGCTATTCCCTGGGGTATTTTGTTGCACTTTCCCAATGAATAAACTTACTTGGTTTTTAAATTAAAGATCTCTATCAGTTTTGGGCTGGCTCTTTTCTTCTTTTCTTTTTCTCCCTGTTAGTTATTTCAGTGCATTGTTAATGCTGTCGCATCCCTTGTGCTGTTCCCTCCAGGCTTCTTTTGGATCAACTGCCTCTGCCATCTGGCAGCTCCAGTGGAGGAGCCCTGCATCTGTCTGCAGGGCTACTTTGCTTATGGGCAGTTCAGGATTTGTTGGGCAGTGCCAGAGAGGTGTTGCCTGCAGTATCGAAGTCCAATTTAACATGTATGTGGCAGCTTTTCCTCATGGGGAAAGTGTGTCTGGTCTGCTTATTTCATAGCAGGTAAATGTGTGTATGTGTGCAATTAATTCCTTATACAATACTGCAAAGAGCTCCAGTAATTTAATGTCTAAAATAATCAGATGAGGGGTTTAATATTTTATTCTATGCAGGAAATAGGTGTTTTTTCTGTATCCTAGGCCTGGTGTATTTACAGCTGAGCCCAGGGAGAATGAATACTATTAAGTGAAGAGGTTACAGCATGACCAGAAAGGAAAGTTGACTAAGTCTCAGAAAACAGCAAAGTCCCCTTAGTGGCACCTGAAGGTGGGGAAAGGGAGAGGAATATTTGTTTTCCTGACAATGAGAAGGCAGACTGTCTATTCACTCTTGAGAGGGAAGCAAAAATCTGCCAACTCACTCGGCACTGAAGACGAGAAGACAAGAGTCATGGAACTGGATGGTCATGAACTGGAGCTGGTTTCTTTATGTCACAGGCTGAGGTTTAAGTTCTCATTAAGTTCTCATTTCTTATGTCTTCAGTTCCCTACAAATATATAACAAATGACAAGCAATCATTTACTCCAGGATTCAACTGTTCCTGTGATTCAAGGACAAGAAACCATACTATATATCCTCTGCAGTTTGAAATTATAGTAAAAGCTGCAAACTACTGCTAGCAATTGGTCATGGGAAGTATCCGGTCCATCGAAGCCTTATGTTTAGATGTGACTGAGTTGAGAATTTGCTGAGTTACTGACTTGCAGTCAAATTTGTTATCTAATGCCATTGTGAGTGAGAGACAGCCCTGATACAGTTCTGTGTCAGACACCCAGAAAATGAAAAGTCCATGACCCAGAAATGGGCATATGGGAAATGACCTGGGGCAGGGGGGAAGAAAAGTCATCTGTGTACAAAGAGAAACAACTATAAAGAGGGAGAATTTCCTGAACTGCTGGCCTAGCAGGAGCATTGGTTCTGTGACCACAGAAGAGTGGAGTACAAATGAGCAAATGACAGGACCTCTGCGGGCTCTGCAAACTGTGCTTCCAGAACATGATTTTGAAGAGGCAGCAACAGCGCTGGGAAGAAGGTGGGGAATAGGGCTGCATCCAGTAATACACTCTGCTAATTCTCCTTCTAGGATAGAATGATTGAGAACTATTGACCTACACAGCTCTGAGGCTGTGACATTACACCTCATTTGTTTAGGTTTGTGATGACGCAACAGGATTGTTCATAGCACTGATCAAGTTTTTGTATCTATAGGTACCACAAATATTTGCTTGTGTTCATATAGGTGCACACTGAGATAATCTCTGTAGCTTTTAATTCCTCTAAAGGAGAAGTACTGCCCAATGGCCACAAGCACAAAATTGCATCAATGGCATAGGCAGCAGTCTTCTAGGTTGTCCTGCTGTGTGCAGCTGAGGGGAGGGAAAGAAGGGGTCATCTGGACCAATTCTGCAAGAAAATTAATGTAATGAGCTGATTACAGGAAGATAATCATGTGTTTAATTTGAGGCCACCTGGAAATGAAGCATGTTGTTTACCGCATGTACTCTGTTCATTATGTGATCTATAGATAAAGCTAACTGTCCAACAGAGTTTAAACAATTACTGATTTTTTTTATAACCAAGAGTAAAGGGAAAATAAAGTCTCCAATTAAATCAGAATCAAAGCACAGTGGGATGAATACCGGAAGCAGAAGAGGAAACTGCCTGTACAAACTTATAATTTTCAGTCCTCTTGAGAGTACTGTGCTGGAGAAGTCTAGTGTTACAAACCAGATTGCTGGCTAGTGCCCAAGACAGATTTACTGCATGCCAACCAGGCAGTAACTTACAGGCAAGGCAGTCCCTAGAGCTGTGCCTGCTGCCGGAATAATTCTGATATTAGGTATTTTTCATAGAATCATAGAATAGAATCATAGAATCATTTAGGTTGGAAAAGACCTTTCAGATCATCCAGTCCAACCATTAACCTAACACTACCAAGTCCACCACTAAACCAATTAAGGGTAGAGTAGCAACCCCATGCCTCCTGGCTTGGTGGCTGGATTATTTTTTAATGAAAGTAAAAACTAGGAATCATTAAGATTGGAAAGGACCTCTAAGATCATCAGTCCAACCATCAACCCAACACCACCATGCCCACTAAACCATGTCCCAAAGTGCCATGTCTACCCATTTTTTGAACACTTCCAGGGATGGTGACTCCACCACCTCTCTGGGCAGCCTGTTCCAATGTTTGACTACCCTTTCCGTGAAGAAATTTTTCCTAATTTCCAGCCTAAACCTTCCGTGGCGCAGCTTGAGCCCATTTCCTCTCGTCCTATCGCTAGCTACTTGGGAGAAGAGACCAACACCCACCTCACTACAACCTCCTTTCTTTAAGAGCTTGTTGACATTTTTTCCTCACTGTTCCACATCAGATATTTCTACAGATAGCAGTAAGGTGCACCTAAGCGCCTCTATTTATGCTACATGCTCTGCGGAGCTAGTAGGTAGGGAGAAGCTAGTAGGTAGGGAATACCCAGATAGCAGCACAATATCTCACTGCCATGGCTACAGGTCCAGGTTGAAGCCAGCTTGCATCTAATGGAGTACAGACAAGAGCTTGGATCTGTCTTCATCTATTCATGTAAGTCATTCTCATTCTCTGCATCACACCTGAAGCAGGATAGATTTAATGTGGAAAAGAGACTTGTCGGTGACAAGATTGTCTTCCATTTAATTGGGATGCAAAATTAATTGCGCTATAATCCAGTGTGCTCTAAGCATACTTTAGTTCTGACAAAATCATAAAACTTGCCTGGGTCTGAACACATTACCTCAAAAAGTTAACAGAAGTACATGGACTGCAGAAATTAATGATCCAGAAAAATAAGTTGCTGGAGGCCTCCAAAGACCTATATATATAAAGGCCTTTTTCTGGATAATCTCTATGCAAGAAGAGACTTGGAGAGAAAACCAGTGACAGTCATCCACAGTCTCCTGATGCCTCTGTAAATCCTAATAACCAAAGCTGGTTGAAAACACTCCGTAGCATAATGCTATAGATCTGGTACAAGAGGCACAAGATGTGGCTGACAGAAGTTTAGCACAGTACAAAATAAGTTCCACTATGTGTATTTAGCAAATGATAATCACAAATACCTTAATAAAACCATTTTTCTATACAAATAATTGAACACTGACTAAGAATATGTTCACATATGCTTTGGGAAAGTTGAGTTGAGATAAAAGTTGCCACTGTGCAAGTTACAGCTTAGCCCATACAAGCTGTTTCCTTGCATCATCTTCTGATATCTATAGTCAAAGGACCACAGAAAAGGTGGTTGAAGGGACCTCTGGAGGTGTCTAGTCCAACCTCCCCCTAGGAACAGTGCTGCTGCCAGCGAGCTTCCCACGTGAGACTTAGAAACCTTCCATGATGGAGACTCTACCATTTTGTCTGGTAACCTGTGCCAGTGCTGCCCTATTCACCTTATGAAGAAATTTCACCTTATGTCCTGCCTGAGGTTCCCAAAATTCAGCTTGTAACCATTCCCTCTGCCTTTTTCTTACCATCTGTTACTACCAAGAGGTTTGGTTCCCCTGTCTTTGTAACTCTCCTTCAAATAATTCAAGTCTACAGTTAGACCCCGCCCCCCCGGCTTAGTCTCCTCTGTG